TCTACCTGTATGTAAATATAGCTTTTCCTCATCATATTGAAATCCCATCATGCTTTCTGGAAATTAATTAATTCATTTGTCACTTTATTTCTAGTACTGCTACTTTCATTTATACCAATTTTACTATTTTAAGATTTTATGTTGATCTTCTAGAATGAAGCTCAGATGTTCAAACATATTAACTATCTCCAAAGAAAAATAACGTTTCCACTTTGTTTATAACAATAGGAAACTATGTAAAAATCATGAACATGTAACTTCACAATTAATTTTTCACTTATACGTTTTTAAAATGTATATTTTAATCTGATTATTAGCATACATGAAATATATGCTATATTTCTAATTTCCATTGTGCAAAATTAATCAGAAATACAGTAGAAATAAGATGCTCTGATTTTTGTCTCTGAACAAAACTACATAAAGAATCTTAATGTTTTATCACACCAAGGAAGACAATGGAAAATTCTAAATTAACTTAAGGTTAGCACTACAAATAATTACAAATGTTCTTTGCAGAGAGAGAGAAACGTGCTCTCCAATTCTGACTACTCACAAATATTGTTCAAAAATATTTCCCTACATCACTAGAAAATAAAAGCATGACTTGACAGAATATAATTTTCCCCCCACACATTAGTTCCAAATACCATTGTGTAACTGAAATCTTTTTACAAAAGAATCTGATTTGTTTTATAGGTTTATTAAATTAGCAAACAAAAATCACTATCTTCACAAACATTTTACACTAATAGTCACAAACAAGTCAGTCTTAATGGACTTTAAAATTGATTTCACATTCAAATATAATTCTAATCCAAAAGGTTGTTAAGGCATCCATGACACAAATGAGGAAGCTGAGCTCCTGAAAATGAGGTGACACAAATTACTACAGTGACACAAATTCCTATAGTCATATGGTAAACCAAAGACATAAATTCATTTATACAAGACCCTCAACTTCCTATTAAGTAAATTTATTACAGTAGTTAATATGCAATCAGCTTAAGTTTTACCAATTTAAGTTTTTTGAAAGATGGACATTTTACAGAAAAAAATGCTTTCAATAAAGATTTTGAAGATGAACTTAATATTAAATTTACAAATAAAAATATACAAGTATAAGCCATATCTAAATAAACAGTACAATAGATGTGAATAAATAGAATGAACTTATAAGTAGATTAATCCTATGAGATTGGTCAAAATACATTTGTGCTGTGAAAGGCTGATAAGTTTTCAGACCAATGATAAATTTTATTCTGAGCCAAATAAAAAAAATAATCACTCTGTCAGCAGAAAACCTGCTGAGGAATACTATGCATGGCATTAACTGGAATGAGGGTAATATCTCCTATTTCAAAATGATGTCTGAAAGACTTAAAAAAAAAACCTGAACCACCATTCTACCTCAACATTTACAGGCTGGGGCAAAAGTAGGTTTACAGCTGTAAGTATGTGAAACAGTTTATTCTTGTATTATTATTTATTAGTTATTGTCTTATTTTCCACAAGAACAACTAACTGCAAACCTACTTTCGCCCCACTCTATATATTAGATGCATTCTACCTATCTAGGCTGGCTGGGAAGAAAAGTGTACCATAAAATGTTTTACACAGCTTATTTTTTATTCTGACTATATGCAAACTGCAGACAATTTGAAAAAGCATAAAGAAGGAATTGCCCACAATCGTACTAGCAAAAGACAACTGTTATCTTTTTATTTCTTTCCAGTCTTTTTCCTAATACTTACTATAAAGTAAAAACTCCAGTTTGTAACTTAACATTATAACATTTAGACATTGCCATTATTAAAAATTTTACTGGTGTTTTAAAGCACTGCTTCTCACTCTGAAATTACATCTCTTTTCAGGTTATGCATGGAAACATACCAGTGGACCCTTGAAGCACATGTTAGACTAGGAAGACTATTTTAAAAGAAATTCCACCACAGAGTGCATCAGGGTCTCTGGGTAAGAAAATATAATTTTTAAAAATCAGGGAGTTTGCCCTGGCTGGTGTAGCTTGGTTGGTTGGGTGTCTCTGCAAACCAAAAGGTTGTTGGTTTCCCAGTCAGGGCACATGCCTGGGTTCACAGTTTGGTCCAGTCAGGGCGCCTACAAAAGGCAACTGATTAATGTTTCTCTTTCACATGTTTCTTTCCCTCTCTCTCCCCCTCCCTTCCCCTCTCTCTAAAAATCAACAAAGAAAAAATATTTTTAATAAAAATAAAAATGGGGGAGTTAAAATCTCACACAATTCCTGAGTTTTCAGGTGATAGTACCTAACTGGTCCTTTATCAGATAATTGAGTAAGCTCAAGATTAAAAATGACAATCAGTTACAGCTGTATTACGCTTTCCCCTTTGCAAAACTCCTGTGTACTATCATTTCATTTTCATTAAGTTATAAAATAGGTATGAAGGAAGTAAAAAAACCATATGGGTAGTTATAAAAGGGATATAAAGTACAGCATAGGCAATATAGTCAATAATATTGTAATAACTATGTATGGTTATTACATACTTGAAATTGGGTGGGGATCACTTTGTAAAGAACATGACTGTCTAACAACTATGCTGTACACCTGAAACTAACACAAAATAACACTGAATGTCAACTGTAATTAAAAATAAAATTTGAAAGGTATGTATGTATTCTCATATCAAAGATGTAGAAAACTGAGGTATGAAGAATTTAAACAACAACAATATTTACCCAATCAACTTAGAACTAGAAATCAGGCCTTTTAAATTACCAGCATCATTTCTATTTGTGTTTAATCAACATTGATGTTTATATTAAGATGACACTGTGAAAGACAAATGTATATTCGTTAAAATACTCTTGTAAAAACTAAACTTCAATCTTTTGAAAAACATAATGTTGCATATTTAATTAGACCAGGTTTGAGAAATTCTAAAAACAAGACAATTGTCTCATCTGGAGAGAAACAGATAATAGATTCCATACTGTTCAAAGATATTTTTAAAAAACATGATATAAACACTTTCAGATCTGGAAATAAGCAAAACAGAGTGTTCTGCTTAGGTGGTTATACTCCTTTCTGCATCAAGTTACCTTCTATTCTTTGTCTCAGTTTCCTACATTTGAAATGGGACAATATCTACCTCAAATGGCTATGGTGAGGACTGAGCTAATACATGTAAACCACTGGTACTGTGCATGTCACAAAATAAGCCCCGATAGCTGTGAGCCATATATAAGCTTGTTTTTTTCTTTTTTCCTACTAGGAGGAAAATATTGGGCTGGCCAAAAAGTCTGTTTAGTTTTTCCCATAAAATAAAAGACACATTTTTCATTTTCACCAATTACTTTATTGATTTAGATACTTTTAGTATTCCGACTTTCTCCCGCTATTGGCTCCTAGTGGGTAGAGGACAGGGGTGCTGCTAAATACCCTGCATAAGACAGCCCCACAGCTAAGAACTATTTGGCCAAAATGTCTATAGTACCAATAAACTTTGCAAACCACTTTTGACACATTCCATCAGTCACAGCACCTTCCCCATACCCAGCACAAATCTTTTTTTTGCATTTCAGTTGCATTTTTACCTTTCTTGAAGTCATAAAGCATAATACTCCAAAAATGTGTATTCTCTTCCATCTTCAATATTAAAATGGCCGCACAAAAATTCACCGAGTTTTATAAATTTTTTTAAATGGATGCTGATATGACAGCTGTCACAATACAATCCAACAAAATTATTTCAAATGAAGTTAAAAGCAACTAAGCACTACCCCAAGCATCCTACGGGAAAAACTAAGCCAACCTTTTGGCCAACCCAACAGAAGCACAGGCTCTAAAACTTCAATGGAGGGAAGGATTTCACATTGTAATTAAAAAAGGGCTGATGTTCAAAATTCAATGGAGATTAACTAAAATCAGAATGCTAAACATCTACATTGCACAGAACTGTGTCCAGATCTAAAAGAGATTGGTTTACCAAACACGTTTTTTTCTTAGAGTAGATATTATATTTCCATATGCTTGTCAAAGTTTCAGCATCATCATGACAGGCTTGTGGCCATGATTCCATACTTTACTGAGAATGTGGAGATCAATTAAAAAAAAAAAAAACCCTTCCCAGAAAAAGTAACAATCCTCACTGCAGTAAGATAGGAAATGTGTTCAATAACTGACACCAAACTCATTCAAAAATTGCGGGTCACTGCCTGAACTAAAAGGTGGGGGGTGGAGGGCGGAATCAGTTCTGTATTCTCTCTCCATCACAGTGAGTATTCATTAAACAGTTTTGTTTACTACTGGAAAAGGTTTTCCAAGGATTGTTGATGGGGGAAAAAACCCCAACAAACTTCTGTCCCTTTCTGGTTGGTACAACCCTTATAACGTGGAACGTCCCATTTAGGTGACATAGGAGGTTTCAGTGGGTCAGAGCCAACGTCTGACCCAGGCAACTTAAACTACTATCCTGACTAACAGGTAGGGAAGGGCTGTAAAGGGCACTTTCTGAATCCAAGACTCAGATAACCAGAATCAATTTCGTTCGCTTTTTAACCTGAGCACTTTCACAGAAGACAATTATCGCCATTTGCCTTAAACAGATTTAAGATGCTATTTAATTACCTTGCCTTCCTCCTGTCTATCCATCCCTTTAGCTTTACTTTAGGCGTGACATCTTCAAAACTTCTCTTTCTCCTCCTAAACATTTTCTCCAAAAGAAAAGAATCAAATACCAAAAAGGAAGCCTTTGATAGCAGGGTCTCACTTCCTTCTTTTCAGGAAAATGAATGGCCTTGCCAAAAAGTAAATCCGCGCCAAGCTGGAGGACGACTAGCTGATCTCACCTTTGCAACTCAACCTCACGAGTGCCCAGCCAGGTCTGCCCACGCATGGAAGCGCCTTCGCAGCGTGTCTGCTAATGGCCCGCAGACCTAGCTCCCCTCAGGCTCTTCCCCCGCGCCCCCCGCCGCCTGTGGGGCCCCAGGCACCGGCGCATTCCCTGGGGACCACTCACCTTGCTGGGCTCCAGCGTTCTTAAGCAGCAAGAGAAGGATAAGTAAGAGCAGAAGGTGCAGAGGCATAGGGAAGGAGGGGCAGTTGGAGCGGGGTGGGAGGAGGCAGGAGTGAGAATCAGGGAGCGCGGCCCGGACGGAGGCGGCGGCCACGGCCCGGACTTGGGGACTGGGGGGGCTGCGCCCTGATCTCACCACCGTCCGGCTCGCCATCGCGGCGGCCGCCAGTCCGCCTGCATAGTGCGGGCCCCCAGTGGGTCCCGCGCGCTCAGGGGCCGCGGTACCAAGCAAGGAGGCGGCGGCTGAAGAGATAGAGCGAGAGGTAGCGCGCGCCTCGCCCCGCGCCGGGACCCCCTCTGTCCCTCACTCCGCTTTTGCCTCCTCCTTCGTTCTTTCCCTGGGTTTCCAGCTCGAGACCCCAGCCCGCAGTGCAGGGCGGAGGAACCACAGTGCTCCAGGCGCGAAGGATGGCTGCGGCGAAGACGAAAAACTAGACTCCAGCACCCCGCTCCTCAACCCGACTCCGGCTAGCCTCGCTCTCCCGCTGCTCTAGCTAGCTGGCAGGCCGGCTCCCTCGCTCTCCCTCTAACGCGCTCTGGCCACGCCTCCTCGGCCGCCACCGCCAATCCTCAGTCAGCTCCGGTCCGTCTCCTCCCCTCACCACCCAATCCACACACTCTCCCCTCGGTCGACCAGTTAGCTCCGCTGCCCCGCTACTCGAGCTCATCTCTCTCCTCCAATCCCCTGAGGCCTTGAGAAGCGTCCCACCCGCCTCCCCCAATCTGGGTTCCTCCTCCAAGCTCCGGCCCTAGCGGCCCCCTCCTGGCCCCGAGATTTGTTATTGTTGGGACCTCAGCCCAAGCTGATCCCGCAGAGGCAGGCCGCTAGCTTTGGTCAATGACTTCCGGGACTTCCCCCATCCCGCTTTCCCGGGTCTTCAAGCTAAGCTTGCTTATTGCTCCTCCCCCCGCCGCGCATCAGGCCACTGGAAGGGGTGGGAAACCTGGATCCTGGATGGTTTTAGCTGGGAGATGAGTCTAAAGACTTTTTTTTTTGCTTTCTTTGTAAAAAATAGCAGAACTGATTTATTTCTTAAATAAAAGCTACTGGCAATTATTGCGGCCACTCTGAGTGACAACAGATCAGTGTTCAATTAAAAAGATATATGTATTTGCTGTTTCCAGTGCCTTTTACTGTATTTATTAAACGGGGGCGGGGGACAAAAAAAAATAACAAGATCTATGCCCCAAAGTAGTGTAAATTCATTCAGCCATTCTAGAGTTGTTGAGCACCTGCAAACCCTGTGTTATGAGGTTTAGGAGTTGCAGCTATAATACACAGACGTCTTCTAGGATCTAATGTTAGGGCAGAGATGAAAAATACATCATGAAAGGCAGAATTAAAAATGCTAATTAGAGTCACAAACAATTTGACAGAGACTGTCAGGAGATAGAGTGACAAAAAGAACTGGTCTTTGGGCAAGGGGAATCCACAGGACTAGATGATTGGTTTTAGAGGGGAGAAAGGTGCTATCCTGGATGTTTTCCACATGGGCTTCTAAGGAGGATGGTTTCATTAATAAATACTGGAAGGTGGAGCAAGATGTGTGGAAAAGTGAGTTAATTCGGGACATCCTGCATTTCAGCTGTCCACTCGGCTAAAATGTGAAGCTATATAACAGACAGGTGGACATTTTGATCTAAAGCTTAGGATGAGGAGTTCCTTGAAGTAATGGGGGGGGGGCGGTTATGAATAGAGGTAATATTCAAAACTATGGAGGAGACTGATATTCTCAAATGAAAATGCGAAAATTGTAAAGGACTTTGGAAGGCATCTTTTTCCACTCGCCTGCAGACCCCTCATGCATTAAACCCTCTACCAATTGTATTTAATAAGCATTTATTGGATGCCTATTAAACACTGCTATGCTTTAGGCCTAATGTAGGCCTAAAGTGGGCATGCAAAGTTTAATCAGAGGAGGCAACCATGTAAATAAATCCATTGATACCTGTGGCATGTTTGAAATATGGACTGATGCCAAAATACCACATTGGGAGGATTTTAAGGAACCCATTATGGCAAGGATGAGACACCAGCTGTCTTGAATAAGACAACAAAGTAAGGAATATGATCTCAGGTCAGAGGCAAAGGAGGCTGGGTTGCAGGTAAATGGTGTTGATGGAGCTACTTGTGCTAGAACTTGTAGCAACCATGGTTGACTCCATTCCTTGACTGGTAAATAAATTTATGCTTTGATAAAGGCTCTGGGAAAGACTAGGGTTTCAGGAAAGGACCACATAAGATAGTTATATATGAAATATATAAACTGTGTATCATTTTAATGTGTTTGTTTACTCCATGTTAAACATAAATAGAGGTTCTCAATCTAAATTTCAATTTACCAGAACTTTCCCCCATCCCTCTTCTGTCTCCTTTTTTCCTTCATTTTCTTTCTTTCTTTCTTCTTTCTTCATTGATAAAGAGTAGAGCAATAGAGAAAATGCAATTGAGAAAATGGAAATATTAAAAGAATGGCTCCATACCACTATATCTGCTTCCAAATGTATCTCAGCTTAGCCATTGCTAAGGAAATGAGAATGAAGGAGGAAAACCTGGGGGCTGGTGCCTTTGCTTCATACAGAAATATCTGAGATTTAATGGTATGATATGGTACAAATCTTTGGCAGCATCATCACTGTTAAATGTCTGTTAAGCATTAATAAAACAGAAGAAGCTCATTTAATATGGCAGTTATACCGGAAACCTTGGGATGATGGTATGTGATGAATCATTGGTGGGCTTTATCAGTGAGTGTATATTTTTGGCAGGATAACAAAAAGAGGAAACAAAAAAGAATTTATTTTTATGATCTTCCAGTGGGTTGGGAGAGAAAGAAGAATGTGGCATTTCTGGGGAAGTATTTCAAGCTTCAAAGTCTAGGACCTTCAGATTTGGTTACTGTTCTCGCAGGAGCATTTTCTTTGTCCTGTTGACTGTTTAGACAAGTGTTTACAGCCAACTTTGTTGCTAAATGTCTGAATTCTGCTGAGGAGACTTTCTTTCTTTCTGTGAACAGAACTCGTTTGGATACATTTTTCTCCTTATCTTGTAAATTTCTTACAGTTAGTCATTTCAGTCAAATCCAGCTCTCAGGTTTATTACTCATATTTTCTTGACATTTAAAAACTATTTCTTTAGGTATCTGTTACAGCAAATTCAAGACAAGTGTTAGGAACCTAGTATATTTTAGAAAATATTTCATTTCTACTAGTGGATAATAACATTACATGTATTTTCTTGGCATATTTCAACAACATGACTGACTGTGATTATTTCCCATTTGCCTTCTACAACCATCTTTCTTTTTCTTTTTATACCTCTCCTCCCTTCCCTTGGTTTTTCTAGAAACTTAATAAAATAAATTGAACTAATTCACTCACCCATGGGTCAGAACAAGAAAGGTTCAGCTTGGTATTTTTATCTCTGATTGGAGGCTGTAAAAAACTTTAGTAAAAATGTGAAAGGCGCCCTTCATAACATCAACATCACATGCAGAAATTAGAGAATAAATTATTCATGAATAGTGAACACACCAGAGTATCTGAGATAATATGATTTAGGTGTATAGTGTCTCTGTGCCTCTCCTGCTATGCACCTGTGTTCTTTCCTGTGGTACCTAAGCTGGCAACATAGTCAAGAATTAAATATACAGAGCTGAAATGCTGTTTGTCTTCTGAGAAGTTGAGTTGTTTCATGAGATCATGAAAACAGCCCTGGACCAGACTCTGGTATGCAGCTTCCACTTGAAAGTGCTGTATATCCTAAAGTAAGTCTCCTAACCTCTCCAGGCCTCCGTTTCTTTGTCTACAACGGAGGATGGGTGGATCTTGTTACAGGTTTTGAGTTTGACAATTCTTCCAAATTCTCATTATCCACTGCTTCCTTTCATCTCACAGACACATTCTAAGTCCTTAATTCCTAGATTGCTACCGCATGCGGGGAGAGGACACAAAAGCTGATGACCACAGAATTACTCTCTGGGAGTGCAGTGTCTGTGCTGAACAGCAGTGCACCTTAAAGGGTGTGCTTCACACCCCTAACCCCAGCTCAGCACTGCCTTGATGAACTGGAGCTCCATGAAGAGCCCCAGTTCTGTTCTGTGAAAGGAGCAAATAGTGCCTTAGAGCAGGAGGGTAACTTTATCAGGAAGGAGATGGGGAGGTCCGAGGAGATAAAGCTGGCCAGCATGGTGGCTGGAAGCTGGAGAAGAGGAGAGGAGAGAAATAGTGAACATTCCCCAGTGGTTGGAATGCAAAGATGCTTTGATAAAGATAGGTAACAAATAAATTCTAGCTGTTCGCTATATGCGCTATATTGTAACCACCAACCCCCAACCCCCCTCCCCCACCCACGGCCTTCCTCCCAAACTCTGCATTAAGTTTACCTTAGTCACATCCTTGATCCAGTGAAACTTTGGGGAAAAAGGAGCATACAAGTGGGGGAGGGACAATCAGGTTGGCATTCAGCTTCTTGATCCTACATGGAAAGGAGAGCATCCTCAGGAAGTGAAATGAAAGCGGAAATCAAAAATTTAGAGAAAGCAGGAGATTCCTGAACCTAAGGTTTTGACAAATGTAAACTGCCTTGCCACTCCCCATCCTCTTGACAAGAAACTAAATTTCCATCCCCGCATTTGCAATCATCCAGGCAGCTGCCTTTTACTACACTAGGACAAGCAAACAATAATTCTACTTTTAATTTTCTGAGAACAAAGAGAGCAGACATTGGGATTTTTTTAAATGTGCAGATCACGTCTTTCAACAATTCCTTTCAATTGTTTAATTAAATGTTAATTTAGAGCCTTTATATTTAATAAGTCAAAATAATAACTAATATTTTAAATAATAGCAAGCCTTTGAAAATTCAGTGTTTAAAAGGAATACCTAAGTTTTTTAAAACAAAAAACAATATTGTCTCCTTCATATTACTGTTACAGAATAGCTGATGTTAGTCTGCCTTTTAACACAACAAGACATAAATGAGATGCAAAATATATTGTACATTTTCATTTAAGCAGATCTTTTTATTTTTGGCATTCTATTTACCATGGTTTGCAAAACAACAGACTGTAGACCAAAAGGAAATAATATGTAGTTCAGATTAATCTGACTTTGCATGAGCTTCTGCATTAATAACCAGGTTTTAATGTCAATATAAATAATACTTTACATTTGACTAACATACTCTGTCACTTTGTTCATAGTTAACATCCTGAGAGATTTTTCTGAAGGACTGATTGCACACCAAGATAGCTCCTAAGAGAAAAACAAAGGAGAATAGAATTTCCATGACCTAGCTTTTTTTTTTTTGTATTAAATCTTGGACTGACTGTACATGTTTAGTGCTCATAGAATTTTGAATAAATAGGATGAGTTTCTCACCACATATCTGGCATTATTTACTGGTGATCTCTATAAATTAATGCTTAGCTCTTATTTGTAGAGCTGAAAATCTACCCATTCATTTTTGGTGAAAATAATTGGTATATTTGATACTAC